CCTCTTTCCCTGTTGTTAAAGGTCACTGCCTAACACTCCCTCACCGTTCCCCTACCACTCCCCTTTGCCTAAACTTGTTAGGCTCTTTTCTTTGTATTTCCTGATAACAGTTGAATAGGACCCACTGTGATCAGCAAATGGCAGGTAAGGGTATTGGTGACCAGGAGTGGAGTTAACAAAGCTTCCCCAGTGATTTAGAATTATGACCCACTGGGTATTGTCATCAGGGGAGTAGATGAGAAAGCCCTTTTGATTTAGTGCGGTGTCCATCAAAGTACTGATTGTGAAATCATTTTAGAGGGTCTGAAGAGGCATTTAAAAAATGAAATACAATAAAACACAATAGAAAATATCGGTGGACATTTCGCTGATCCTTGGCAGGCACTGGGTACAACTTAACAAACACCACAGCCAGTTGCCATGATAAGAGAAGGAAAGCAGAAAAGGACCAAGTGAATCTACATATTGGCTGGAGGAATGTTGTTTTTAACTTTTGCTTACTGCTGTCTAGTTTGGTATTCTGGTATTTATAGCATAAGGGTTAACAGTTTACAGTTTATTTTATATTGACATAATGTGGTTGTAAAATAAAGTTGGTTATAAAATAAAGGGCAGGGGAGTTTTTATCTTGCTTTCAGCAAAAGTGTCAAGACTTTTAATTGAATTTTGTTTGTAAACATTTTGTAGCTCAGTTAATTGTACTTTATAACATTATGTTGTTTTCGTTTCTTATTGTTACCATAACAAATAACTACAAACTTAGTGGCTTAAAAGAACATAAATTTATTATTTTACAGTTTAGGTTAGAATTCTTGTATGAGTCTCGCTGGGCTGAGATGAAAGTATTCGCAGGGCTTCCTTGGGCAGCATCCATTTCCGTGTCTTTTCCAGCTCCCAGAAGCTGCCCCCGTCCCTTTACTCGTGGACCTCCGTCTGCCTCCACCTCCAAAGCCAGCAACATCGAATTGCTTTGACCTTTCTGCAGTGGTCGCAGCTCCCTCTGAGTGAAGCCCTAAGGAGTTCTCCTCTTTTAATGAGACTCGTATGATTTCACTGGGCCCATCCAGATAATCTAAAATAATCCTCCAATCTCAAGGCCCCTAACCTTGATCACATTTGCAAAATCCATTTTACCATGTAAGGTAATATATTCACATGTTCTAGGGATTAGAATGCAGACATTTTTGGGAGGCCATTATTCTGCCTACCACAATTGTCTGTATTGAGTCCTGCTTCCAAAATGATTGTTTCCTTGTAAAATAAATGTGCATTAAAAAAAAAATAGTTGATTTAAAGAAAAAATAGTAAGTAAAATGTTTCTGGCTGTGGCTAAAATAATGAAAGTGGTATTCGAATGACTATAGTTTGGGAAACACTTTACCTGAGAGATGGCCCAGTACCAGGACAGGGTGGGGTGCAGGCCAGAGAGCCCACAGCCCCAGCCAGACTCCGGTTTGCTCTGCTGCTGCTAGCTGGCCCCATCCAGGGCTCTAGCCACAGTCGTTCAGTGTCTTCATCCTAAAGAAAGGGATTGCACCAGACAGGCAGTGTCCAAAGGCCCCTCCAGCTCCAATTTGCTAATTCTGTGCAAATAGATATTTATGTTAGGAATTTAAATGTCAGGGGCAAACACAGTGTGAAATATCTCTAAACATCATAAACAATTCAAAAGGTAAAAACACTAGTTCTGTCTTAAATACTGCCTTCCCTAAATGTAGCTGTCAAGTACAAAATGTCAAGCCTTAGCTGATTATTTAAATGATTGCTATCATACTTGTTAGGGACTGTCTTGTCATGATTGGATATCCTTTTTTTTTTTTCTTTTTCTATTTGGTTGTTTTTGATAAATGCCATTTGAGTGGTGAATGCTCATTGTCACTTGCACTCATCAAACAATTATGGATTCTTTGAGAACATTTCCTAAACTCAGCAAAATAGAAAGTGCTAGAAAGGCCAGGGGGTGGACAGTTGGTGTAACAGGACCTCCAAATTAGGTAGACATTTAAAAGAACTGATGACTCTTGACACCTTCTCCAAGTGTGCACTTACTTATAGATTGTTCCAATTCTAATAATTCTTAGTGACTTTTTGTTCTTTTAATGAACACTACATAGTGAAGAGATTTTTATTTCTTTCTCCAATAAAAAAAATGTCAAGCTTCAGTATTATCTAAAATAAAATCAATTTTGTCCTGAAATATAGCTTTAGAAACTGAAAGTTTGTTTTCTTTGATTACCTCATAAATAACAAGAGTTTCATATCAGCTGCCCTGTCCCTTCCTCCTCCACCCTTTCCCCCACTTTTGCACTGTGCCGATCACAGGTGGATGCTCAGCGTCACCCCACAGCACAAGATAAATAAGCTTGGAAGGTTTCCTAGCAACATATTGTTCTGGGAACCTGCTCTGTTTCCCTGAACAAGATGAAGCCAAACATCCTAGAATCTCAGCCAGATGGGAAAAGATTAGCTTATTGAGAGTGTTTAATGCATTTTTTTTTTTAAATTTCACTTTGAAATATAAACCTCTTAACATAAGTAGCAAGATTGACTTTTAAAAGGACCCTCTTTTACATGTAAAGAAATTGGGGGGTAGTAGTTTGAATTTTAAAAATATGGTTTTAGAAGAATTCTCTAGGAACAAGCTTGCAATATGTAATTCAGTAACTGGCGAATGGATCCATTTTAGAACCGTCTTCCACACAAGAGTGATATTCAGCCTGGTGTGGTATTCCAGTTACAAAAATGTTGAAATACTTCTGATCTGGCGGGCGAGTGGCTGCTGGAGCTGGCTCTCATAACGCCGTTAGCTGCGCCCCTTGACCCCGGCTCCTGCTCCTAGGGAAATGTGGATACCTTGTCACTGCGTAGAACCCTGAGACTTCCCTTTTTTCTGTGGACCCAGGGCTATTTCCGTGCTAGTGATTTGCAACTTCATCTTGAGAGACTGTTTTTGGTTTTCTGACTATATGGTTAATGCATATAGAAAAAAGAATACTAGAGGAACTTGAGGCCACTGTCAAAGCGTAGAAAAATGATGTGGTTGTCTTGTTAGCACGTGATCGTGTATATTTCCCTTGTTTATCTAGTGATCTGCGAGGCTGCGTAGTTGGCAGGTGGTGCTTTCCTTTCTAGTGTACTCTGGTTGGTCACAGTATACAGCTGAAGGTCTCTGGAGAGCGAGTAATAAAGGGTTAGTGTTTCTCATGACAATATTCAACAGTGGCTTTGCAATTCATTCACACCCTGGGAATGTCCTCACTCCTTGTTTAACAGGGAGACATTCCGCAGTCAGCCAGATGAGTATTCTCCTAACGTGGTCATGGAACGGTTTGCACCATCTCTCGGGTTTGTTTGAGTTTCTGACACTTCCCAACTGTGGTCAGAAGCAGATAATTTTAGTACTTCTTAGTGCTCCTGGATGAGAAAAACAAAGTAATTAGAATAAGATGAGGACCGACACCTGTGTCTTTGGTTTTTATTTAACAAATTCTCTGGCTGGATTCCAGAGAATCGAAACCATCCTCATCCCAGAAAACTGCAAGATAGTTTTATATTCATGCTGGTGCTTTCCATCTTCTTTTGCTCTCTCTCACACACATGTGCATGTTTTCTAACTACCACACTGTGAACTCAGTAAGGAGCATTCTGTCGAGCGGCCGGCACGGGCCAAACACTTGGCCAGGCATCATGGCAGATGCTGACGGCAGCACATCATCCCTGCCTTTCCCAAGGCCTCAGGAAGTCAGCAAAATAGCGCGTCTGTAATCTTAAACAAAAAACTTTTCCTTGATTTCAAGTCCCTTACTTTAGGACCTAAACATTATGGAAAAGTTTTTGCTGTTTAAAGGAATTATATGATTCTGATTGTCTAAGGAAAGGCTGAAAGTAGATTTAACCTGTAATATGGAACTGAATAGGTTATAATACCTTAATCTTGATTGAATACTTATTAAATTTTTTTTAATTTCCATGTACCGGGCATTGTTTTAGATACTTTACCTATGTTAGCTCACTAAATTCTCCTGACACCAATATGAGGCAGAAATTTGTTTACCTGCCATTTTGCAGATAAAGAAACTGAGGCTAAGAGAGGCTATTTGTTTTTCTTTTTGGAGACAGGGTCCTGCTGTTTCCCAGGCTACAGTGTACTGGTGTTCACAGGCATGGCCATAGCACAGTGCACTCTCTGTTCCTGGGCTCAAGTGGTCCTGCCCGCAGCCTCCTGAGTAGCTGGGACTGCAGGTGCACACCACTGCACCAGCTAACAGAGGTTGAATACCTGTGTACCGAGGGCCTCTATGCTATGCCATGCTCATTCATTTCTAGCATTCTAAGTCTCTGTAGGATTCTAGTCTTTTTTCAGAAAAGAGTAAACTACTGTCTTTTGAGGATGACATAATTTTAGCAAGAAATAGATGAGTTATTTAGATGATTTTCTATTATTACATAAAGCACAACAATCCTATATTTCTTTGAGTTTTCAATGTCAAACTTCAGAATCTTCTTTCTCTTTGGTATATTAATTCCATTTTTCAAGTATTTCTTGCTTCTCAATTTTTTATTTCTATAAAATTTTCTGTGAGTGAATTATATTTAAGGAAAGATAGTTAAAATTAATAACTCTATTAAACACATTCACAAGAAAAGGTTGTGACATCATCAATATTATAGAACAGACATGGACAAATTGTGGCCTGTTTTGTAAGGGTTTGTTGGAACACAGCCATACTCATTCATTTTGTATCAGCCTTGGCAACTTTTATGCAATAACAACAGAGTTGAATGGTTGTGACCTATAGCTCAAAAAGCCTAAAATGTATTCCATCCGGACCTTTATAGGAAAAGTTTGCCAACCCTGGCTCTAGAATCTAGATTTTCCTCCTAACTTTGAGTTGGGCATGCTCCCTTAGAATGCCAGATACTTAATTGCAAAACACATCAGCCTTTTTTTTTCCTAAATGTTGTCCTTGTCTAACATGCTTTTCCTCTGATCCCTGCAGGTACCAACCAAGAAGCTGAAGAAATATGAGAAAGAATATCAGACAATGCGAGAGAGTCAGCTGCAGCAGGAAGACCCAATGGATAGATACAAGGTATGGGAAACGCCTGGCGCCTATCAGAGCGAAGTACTTAAAGCAGCAGTTGAGACAAGTTCAGTTCCCTGTGTTTCTCCTTGATTGATGTAGATACTCTCTGATCATGCTAACTGTCCAGGTATGTTTTTATTTCAGGAGACTCCCAAGTAGCCAACCATAATATTTCTTTTCTTTCAGTTTGTATATTTGTAGGTAACTCCAGCTGTTGCATTTAAACGGGGAATCTTCATAAGAAGCTGAGAGAAAGGGGAAAAGAGAGAAAGTGGCTTTCTACTTTCAAAAATGAGGAAAAAAAGGAAAATGGCAAAGTACTGTCTTAGCTGTTCATGGTCACATCCACAAAGACTTTTAGAAGGTGAACTATCTCAAGACTGGCACAAGGATGTTTCAAACTTACCTCTTTCTGTAGCAAATGTTAAAAATACAAACTCACTTGGAAGGAAAAATAAAAACCACAAAGGTATACGGAGCATAGTAACGGTGTTTGTTGCAACATTTATTTCCACAAATGAATATATGAATAACAGTGACATCTGACTTACAGTACACAGTTTCAGAATCAAAATGATTTCAGTTTAATATATTAGTCAATTGTGGTACTTTTTAAAAATTAGACCACTTACGACGATAGATCTCTTTCTTCGATGGTAATTAGCAACACTGTTCCCAGGATGCAGTGTTGGGAAATAATGATATCCAACTTATTTTTTTTAAATGAAATATTATTGTCTCTCTTCAGCATGTTTTAATTTTATAGTTTCATACAGATGCATAATAGTTCCCTCACCCTCCGCATCAGTTCACTAAGATAAAAGAATATTGCATTTTCAGTACTGAGCACCAATGCTGAAATGTTCTGCCAAGAAAAGTACTTGGTGGCATTATTAATTAAGTCACCCACAGCGGGATGACTTCCGCTTGTGTAACTAGAGTTGCCTTTATGTGGTCAGAGTGGACTTGGGTAGCACCATCGCACAGTACAGCTTGTCTCTGTTGCCGAACTGAATGGCGTAGGATGTGTGCAGAGGAACGTGGTAGAAGGAGTATATAGATTTTGTAGTCAGACAGACCGGAGTTCAAATCCTGCTTTTTTTTTTTTTTTTGGAGCACAAGATTTGGAATCCAAATTGGGCATTTTGATGCCTATGCCACTGTTCAGCATCTTGGACTAGTTATTGAACAACTTCCCTCATCTGTAAAACGTGTAGTGTGCACGATCCCTTGGCAGATTGCTGTGAGGATGAGGGGTGTTGTAGGTTAAGTACTCAGCACGTAGTCTGGTGTCCAGTAAATGGTGGTTGTTAGTTTTTTTTTTTTTTTTTTTTGAGACAGAGTCTCACTATGTTGCCCTGGCTAGAGTGCCGTGGCATCAGCCTCGCTCACAGCAACCTCAAACTCCTGGGCTCAAGCAATCCTACTGCCTCAGCCTCCCGAGTAGCTGGGACTACAGGCATGCGCCACCATGCCCGGCTAATTTTTTCTATATATATTTTTAGTTGTCCAGATCATTTCTTTCTATTTTTTAGTAGAGACGGGGGTCTCGCTCTTGCTCAGGCTGGTCTCGAACTCCTGACCTTGAGCTATCCACCCGCCTCGGCCTCCCAGAGTGCTAGGATTACAGGCGTGAGCCACCGCGCCCGGCCGATTGTTAGTTTTATGAAGCCTACTACTACGAAGTGCGCAAGTTTTGCTAGAATAATATCACTTTATATGGGTCTGTCCCTCCAGCTCCTCACTGATCATCCTCATGTTTCTCCCAAGTATTGCTACGCAGTACTCTCCCCTTGTTTATGGAACTGTCTCAAGAACTGGTAAAATCCCACATACTGCTATAGTAGGAAACTATTAACAGATGCAGTGTAAAAGATAAGGTGTGAAGCTAATTCCCACCACCACTGTCCCCTCAGTAAAACCAATTTTAGTGTAAGTCATGTAGCATGCTGCTTTAAAAAAGGCTTGCAGGTAGTAATTATAAAATAAATATTACTAAGCATCCAGAATGAAACCTTCCTACTGCCTGTATCATTCTAATTTTCTTATTGCCACCATCATTATGAATAAAATCTTCAGAGAGTGCTTTAAAATAAAAGCAGGCTGGGACTGAACTTGTTACTGTATCTGAAATCCTTTTTGTTTCAAAGCAGGTATGTATAAATAGTATGAAGTATATATTTTTTTAAGTACTTATAACATTATAACATGTAAGGTTGTTAGTGTGTATAGTTTTTATTGAGGGATCAAAGTAGAATTAAACTTTGTTTCTGTTTTGAAAGCAGATATTACTTCCAAGTTCAAGTGCTGTGGCTTCTTAATTGCATGTATCAGATGCCTTCTATAGATATTTCTTTTGGATTATTGTAATATCTTTTTAATACATTAACTAATATCTCTAACCCCTTTTTTTTTCTATACCATCTTAATAATGTTTAGGCATTTGTCCTGGTGATATACTTGGCAAATTTATGTCCACAAATTGTAATTACATTTTTAATGTGGCAATTAACAACACAGTTTCCAACCATTAAAAGATTGGGTTCTTTAGATGATCAATATGTAGTTTAAGAAACTAATTATAATTATCTTCCTTGTAAAGTTCTTTTGCAAAAATAAAAAAATAAATAACAAAGAAGCTAATTACAATTATCTTAATTAAAGTTGCAAAGTATCTTAGAAAATACCTTTTAGCATCTTCCAAATTCAATCCCATGAAGAGTAAGGTCTCTGTCCTGGGAATGAACGCGCTATAATTCATAGGTCTTAGACTAGTAACCCCGTTAATGGAAACTCTTAAGAATGAATCGGGAAGATGTTCGAGGGCACTGAGAACTTGCACTTGCTCAGTGACAACCTCTCCTGAACATTAGAATTGAACTGCGTGAAATGCCACGTCTACCTGCTGGCTTGCCATCTGGCAAGAGAGTTAGGAAGGTTATGGGAGGAATTTATTTTTTAAATGTCATAAAATTAGATATTCTATTAATAAGTATTTTAGTTCAAAGCTATTTCTCTTGAACATGGTGCCATCCATAAAGGGCTATTGCAGGGAAGCTGGAGGAGGGATTAAAGACCCCACAATGTAGAGGTACCACTCAGCAATCATATTTCTTGCTTTATTTGTCTAAACATGTGTTTTGTGTCTATTTTTATGGCCTATGCAAATACCTGCATTCTCAGGTTATGCCACCGTCCTCACCTTTATCCAACACTTAAATCTCAGCTACAAAGAAAGAGGTGATATAGTGTTGGCATAAATTTAAATTTTAAAACCCTAAGCATCATGAAAATGTCCTGGGATTAGGTAGTGGTGATGATCATGCGACTTTGTGAATATACTAAAAATCACTGAATTGTACATTTTAAAAACATGAATTTTATAGTATGTGAATTACTTCTCAAAAAAAAAAAACAAAAAAAAACTCCAAGCAAAATCAAATGTTCCAAGTGGATTGTCATCTAGCCTGCCATCTTCCTTTCATGAACCCCAAGTCACACCAGTAGTACCTGTGCAGAAGCTGCACTTGTGGGAGGGAGACCTTCCTGTTGAAATTGGAGTCAATTAATAATTATTGGTCTTATGTTTACAGGGGAAAAGACAACACAAGAGGGTAGTAAATTCTTTTTTTACTGATGCCTATTAATTTCCAGATAGAATACATGTTGTATGTATACACACAGACCTTTATAAATTGGTAATACATGTACACACTACCTGTGCGACCTAGTCTTGGCATCAGTTTGTGTTTGAAACTCAGGAAACCCCATACTTACAGCTTATAGCCTTTAGTGTATTCCTTCTGTTTATCTTCATGACTAGATTCAAAGAGACAGAAAGGAAACTTAATTAGAAGGAGAATGTAGAATATTTATTCTAAAGCTCATTTTTATCATCCCTCTTAACTTGAATCTGGCCAAATTTGTGTAATGTTATTTGTTTACTCTGATATTTTGGTTTGTAAATTTAACGATTGATTTCAAATGATAAAGATTTGGCTGTAGAAATACATCAAGTACATTTTCATTTTTGTACAGGTCTCCAGAATATACACATTCATCAATATGTGTAGCTGTTTTTGTATATTCTAAAAATTAGTAACTAATAAACAGTTAACAATTTCAGAAATTAAAATAATGTTTTCTCTCTTACGGAAATGAACCATTTCCATTGTTGGGGAAGTTAGTTTTCTAGTGATACAATCAATTCCTGGTACTTTTTAGAGAACTGCAGCCTTAGTCTACCTTTGGAGTCTGTCTTTTCTTATTTAATTAAAGAACTGCTTGCACAAATGTGGGTTAAGCCTGAAAAAACACAGCTAATTAATTAAATTCAGTGAATCTCCCAAAGCATAATAAAGGTTACCTGTTCTGTATGGGAAAATACTAGAAAGAATCTAGAATGTTTAAATTCTCTTGGGTTTGGGACACAGATGGTATTATAAGTACATAATTTATAATTGAACTATCTTATCCATGTTCAGTAAAATTAAATTTAGAAGGTTTAATTTCTTTCTTGAGGTTAGTTAGATATAGTAAATGTTTTTATCAAAATATAATTGAAACAGAAAATGATTAGTTTTAAGTTTACACAGAGTTTTTTTGCACATACTAATTGTTGGAGAGCAATTGTCACTGCACATAATTTAAAATTGAGCTATTATACAGAGTAAAAACCGTACAAACAGAATATTTGAAGTAAAGCTTAATTGTACTTTTTTACCATCCTTACATATCTAATGAAATGATTTAGATTGATTATCACATTTTTTTTTAACTTGACAGATGAAGCAGTTTAAATTATGCTGAATTTCTTACCTATGAGAAAAGGGGGGAAGGACTTCTTTTTTTCACTGCTGGGCCGTTTTCAGTGTTGGGCCCTTCCTTCCTCAGGGAAGCCAAGATAAGTGAATCCATCTTTGAGAAATGTTTTTCAACCATTGAAAATAAACTCACATTTTATTATTTTTTCCGCATCACAGAAACTTGTTGGTTTTTGGAAATAT